CGAAAAGAAAGCCCTGCGCCTGGTCGCTCTCCGTCTGGGCATGACCAATGTCGCCCGCGAGAAGAAACGCGCTATCCAATTCGGATCCCGAACCGCAAAGATGGAAAAGGGTAGAGTAAAAGGCACCGATGCGCTCAGCTGAATATAACAAAAACCGAACATAACTCCATTACCCCCCTTCACCGTTTGCTCACCCCCCGAGATAGTAGAACAAACGATCACAATCCAATTCCCCCCTTTCACCCACAATCTCCTCGCCAGACACAAACAAAAGAAAGACCAGCAGATGATGACAAACCCCAAGAATCAGATACTTCCGAGACCCAGCCCCTCTAGCTAGTCCTGCTTTCCTCTTCCAACCCATTCGCTTCCCTCCCCCGGGTTGCCTATCTCAAGTCCTGAAAGGAAGAGTGTTAGTCACTATTCAGACACTCCATTATCCACACCAACAAACACATGCCATTTGCAAAGTGACCAACAGCATGGGACTGCAACCGCCCGCTGTCTTCTCCCACCGCCGGAAGAAACAGAGGGATAGTGTACTTCCCAGTTGCGAGACGTTGGAACTCCCTCACTGTATACCTGTTCCTTGAATTTCGAATTCAAGAAACTGCATGACTGTGTTTGGGGACATGTGTGAGTGGGTGAGTGGGTGCACTGACTTTCAGACTTGTGGACTTATGGATATGTGCATCTGGGGACCGATGGGAATGGGCTAGGCAAAAGGAAAACGGGGAAACGGGGGGTCTGGTGTTGATGAGGTGTGTTTAAAGGCAAGTCTGAGCTGTGTGTCTTTTGTCTGATTCATTGGTTGAGGATGTAGATATACTAGGTACTTTGGAGAAGGGAGCGGGAAGGGTTATGGAATTCTGGGGTGGTGGTTCGCGTGGTTTAATCGGTTGTAGAAGGGCATTCCGATGAGTGTGGTGTCGTAGAGGATTGGATTGTGATAAGTTAGAGCGCGCTTGTTGTGTCAGCAATAGGAAGGAATAGAAGTATCTTCATGTGCAATAGACACTAAATGTAGAGCAACAATGGCTGCGATGTGGTAGAGCTACGTACGGGACGATTCGAGCCATGAAGGATACAGTAGCTCAGACTAGAGTACGAGAAGAAGAAACTACGGCAGACGGAGCAGTTGTCCAGAGACTGGAAGGTTGTTAAATTGGGGAAAGCAATCCGTGTGGCAATTGACGACCACACGACCGAAGCCTTCAGCCAGCTACCTAAAAACATGACAGTGTAGTGTCTCCTTCAAGGCATCAAAAGGACCCAGTGAGATAGGCGGCCAGATCGATCCAAGGAGAAAGACACATACAAGCAAGGAAATATAGTAGAGAGCATTCGAGAATAGCAAGATAAGCAAGTCCGTGAAGGTCACAATCTGGTACAAATATCAAGCTTGAGTGGGAACAAAAGCAAAGGTTGAGACTCAACACAGGAATAGAGAGATATTAAGGCCACGAGTCAATCCATATATACAGGAGACATCAGAACCGGCCGTTTAACAAAACGACATATCCGAATAACGAGACCCTCAGCTGATTGAACTGGGGTAAGAAGCGAAACACACCAAGAGGTAGGACTTGCTGAAGAGGCAAGCCCACCTAAGGAGAAGTACAACACAAGGTCCGGCAGTGCAGCGAGACAAGCACGGTGACCGATCATGATCAAGTGACAGATGTAAAACTTTTTATCCCGTCAATAGCAGGTCGAACAACCGGTGGTTGATGGCGAGGATTGGTCACCGACTGCTATTGACGGGAGACAGACAAAAGACTCGACGCCCCCGTCCACAAGACTCAAATAAACGACAAGTGCACGATGAGCACAGACACATTAAAACAAAACCCTTTGACCCGCGAACATACACAAGAAAATCCGATAAACTTTTTAATGGCCCTCCATGGCGAGAGCCTTCATCTTCCAAAACTGCTCACTCTGCTGCGCCTCGAGGAGGGACGCTTCGAGCTCGGCGACGCGACGCTCCAACTCTTCTTGGCGCTCCAACTTGCGAGCACGCGACTTGCGAGCCGCTTCAGTGTTGCGAGCCCGCTTCACGGCGGCTGGGTCGCTCTGATCGCACTTGATGGGTGCCAGTTCCTTGCGCTGACGACCGTTGACACCAGTGACAGTAGAGTGCTTGTTGACACCAGCGACGGTGGAGTGCTTGACGCGGGTAGTGGGAGGCGAGATAGAGCGAGCTGCGACACCAGAACCTGGAGCCGGAGACTTCCTCTGCCTGATGATGGGTGAGGCGCTTTCCCTGATGATGGGAGAATGCGGGGGACCCATGGACTTGGTAGGCGGCAAGGGAGGAATCATCTCGCCCGAGTCCATAGCCGGGATCATCTCGACAGGGTCGATAAGTTGATCGAGACGATTCACCTCCTGCGAAATGGGGAACAAAGCATCCCAGTCTTCGACAGAAGTCATCAACTCCATCTCAGGCGTGAATAGAGGAGAAGTGTTCTGGCTGAAGCTGCCAGGCGTAGCCAAAGGAGGAGTGCTCAGATCAGTGAAAGTGGCCGAAGGAGGAGGCGCGAGAGACGAGGCATCGAGGAAGAGGTCCTGCGGCGAGACAGTGGCCGGAGGAGCAGCCTCGACTCCCTGGCCGAAGAAGTTGCCAGAGATCATCTGAGGAGAGAGCATGGTAGCCTCCATGGAGCCGGGCTGGAAGTCGAATAGTTCGGAGAGGTCTGCGATTCGAAGGTTAGCGATACTGACACAAGCCATCCGGCTCGTCGCTTTGTGCTCACCTTGAGGGATGCTGGAGGTAGACATGTTGCGGCGGTGATTCTGTGTATTGAGGTAGTTTTGATATCGCTTTAGATAGTGTAGGTGCTGTTTTCTGAGGATCTGATCGTGGAGTTTTGGAGTGGTAGAGTTGTCGTTGAAAAGAGGAACTGGAGGACGATTGAAATGGGTAGTAGAGGGCGAAGCGGCAGGCGCGGCGTACTGGCGCAAATTTGGCTTCCGTGCGTAAGGATGAGACCAAGGAGACGTAGTAGACAGATGATACCCGGAACTGTAAGGCGCTATTCTGGCAGATGGAACCTGACTAGGCGAGGCTGCGAGCCGGTGATGTACCGCTGATGAGTGTCGTCGAGTAGGTAGCCCAGATGGGACCAGAAGATTTGCTGAGGCCGAAGAACTAAGGGTAAGATTCCGTGGTGCTGGAGCACGCGAGTCCCTGGGTGAAGGCTGCGACGCTGGGAATAGCACAAAGTCTTCCTGTGGAAGGTTGTTGTTGTTGCTGTTGTTGCTGCTGTTGTTGTTCGGAACTGAAGCCAGTGGCTGCTGAGACGGGGGCGTGGGGAGCCATGTTTGCTGAAAGTTATCCGTGGTGAACGACGTAAGGTCGAACGGGGTAATCGTGCGAGTGGGAGAACTTGAGCTACGCGATGCGATGCTGAAGTTCAGAGGTCCTGGGACAGGAAACTCTGAAGGGGGGGTTGACGAGTGGGGAAAAAAAGACGAGGTCCGAAGAGGATCTATGATGTCTGTCTCGGTTGAGAAAGACGAGTGTAACCGCGGAAAGGCGTTTACAAGGCCATTTTGGATGGATGGATCAGAAAAAGTCGCGTTGTATGATGGCTGTATGGTGACGGAGAGATGAATCTATGGTGGTGGTGGTGAAGTTGTAAAAAGACCGAAGTCAAAAAGTGGGATGTCAAAAAAAAAAAAGAGAAGAGAGAGAGAGGGAAAAGAGAAGCGCCAGGCAGCGAAGGGAAACCAGGCACTTCTTAAACCGAGTACCAATTCATGGAAACCAATCAGCGTTGTTCTGTTCCCCGCCTGTCGCTCTAACCGTCTGGGGACAAGCGCACTTTTGGCGCGGTCAGCAGGTGTGAGTCATAGGGCTTATGGAAGTCCTCATTGGGTGCACACCCTCTGCCGGTGGGGCCGGTCGGAGCCCCAGGCATTCCCGTGCCTGGAGCAGGCTCACTGCCTGCGAAGTCGGTTGACGACGGCGGTACCGTCCAAATACCACCCTTTACCGTCCAGGTACACTGGCGGGGGATGTCACTGGCCAGTATCCCTCTTCACCTCCACCGCCAGAATGCAGAATGGAAAAACGAAAGAAAAAAAAAAAAGGTCCCAGGATCCAGCCTGGAGCTGAGGATGGTCGACGATGATGAAACCGGTTCATCCACCGGGTCCATTGACCAACCACCTCGCAGGGTCGGGGTCTGCATTGGGAGAAGCACAACAGCCTGCCAGGTGTGCCCCCGGGCTGTCCTTTGGGGGCTGAGCAAGAGCCTCACCCTCTTGTCTCACCTGCTGTGCCTGTTGACTGGACTACTAACTACTAACTAGATAACTTAACTTAACATACTAAGTGCTAGGCAGACAACTCCTGCATACGCATACCTAACCAATTCCCTCTGTACTTGCGGTGCACAGTGCTCGAGTACCGTACTTCTTCCTGCCTGCAGTCGGAGTTTCGGAGATCATTTACTCGATTCACTCCCCGCCCTGCAGAGGACCAGCCCCTCCTTTGCTCGTTAAAATCGCTCGAAGGGCGTGAAATTCCACCTGGTCAAACTCTATCAAGACACCGGGACGTTCCGGCCTCTTCACTAGCCAGGAAAGCCTTGATTAGCCCTTTCCACACCCGTTCAAAAGTTTGGACAGAATCCTCAAGGTCTGGTCTTCCTGCATGGCGGTATCACTTAGATGAGATGGAATGCGATTGATTTCTCAGAGCGCAGCAACACCGCCGGCGGAGGGGAGAGAATCCCCTTTTTGAACCTCCTCTGTCTGGTCACTTGCCCAACCCAACCGGAGCCGGTATCGGCGGGCACCCGGCCCTGTTACAAGTTACTATCCTTCACCAAAATGTACGGAAAGGTTCCGTTACAAAACCAGCCAAGGAACGGGGCCTCCATAGAGTATAGTTCATCATTTTAGTAGATTGGAGCAGATACGGATCCTACTGGGTAGAGGGGGAAAAAGGGGGAGGAGAAAAAAATCTTCACAGCTAACCAAAGAATCATTCATGGAAAGTCAAATCTCAATACCACAGATGTGAATGTCAACTCGAATGGCACGGGATAAATTCGATGTTGACCTGATCGATCTGCTCAATTGACTAGGTCACAGGCAGCAAAGCCGTCAAAGGATGACGACAACAAGAACAAAGAGTGCCAGGCAGCCTGGACCAAAGGGGTTGGGGAAAATCGAAGACAGTGTCTTGGACGCTTGGTTCCGGTCTCTCTCTCTTTTTGTGGCATCCACAATTTATCCCCGCGGGTGGGGACTGCGACTTGGAGATGCGAAGAAGCCCTTGCGCGGGCATGGACGGATACGCCGCCGATACGGATTGCAGCCGCGTGGCCCGCCGGCCCTGCTTCAGTCGCACATTCGAAAGTACCTACGGAATACACGCACATGCAGATTCTAACGGCTTTTTTGCTGCCGGGGAAAGGAAAGGAGGCAGCCACCAGTGAGCTATCACAATCAGCATGATTAATGTGAGTTTTTCCGTCGTGCGGACTGCAGATACACCGGACTGCAGATCGGTGTATCTGCAGCAGCACTGAAGTCGAGTCCGTACGTGTCCTCTCATCCCCGGGTTTGTAAGCATTGCACGGAGAGACGGGACAGCCCATGTGGTCTGATTGGCCAATGGGCAGTGTGGCCATCGCAGCCCTGGACACCTGGACATCTGTCATGATGATGATGGATGGATGGACACGTTGACGGCAGCCTATTCTTATGTAGAGTAGGTCCAAGATACAATAACAGGATCTTCATCAGATAGGCATCAGCTCTTTTCTTCCGAACCAATGACCGACAGAATAACCTCCATCCCTCCAGCATTGTGAAAGTGCATCGCGGCCGAAGTATCCCCAACTCCGATGGCCATGCGATGATGATGCGATACCATCGTCCACCTAGCTTGTCTGGAACTCTAAAGATCGATCTACCACCGTTCAAAGTACCCTAGAATAGTACATTATACTGCACTACATCGTAAATGATCTTGCGCGAACTCAAACCCCAGAAAAAAAAAACAAAAGAACAAAATCGGACCCAACAGCACCTCGAACGTTATCCGACCTACTCTACCATGTCTCGTCAAGATCGCAAAATTTATTGTTCCCCCTTTCTACCACTTCTACAATCTTGGAACACAATGAAAAAAAATGCGCCCTCAAGTATACTGTAGCTGTAGCAGTGCAGGCCGCCCAACGCAATTGATGAACACCAAGCGTAGCACCGGGTCACCATTCCGGGAATGACATCGTCAGTCCCAGAGATAGTCTTTTGGCCTTGCCACCCTTCAAATCGAAAATAGACTTTCACCAGAGTGCAGTGAAATGCACTGAAGTCAAGCACCGTAGCAAGGCTGGCTCGCACACATCGAAGCCTGCCGGCTCCGAGACAGTCCAGCACGTCGCTGGGCCTGTCTTTTCGGACCTGATATCCGAGATGGCAGAGGATGATGGAATGACCATAGGGGGCATTGGGGTAAAAAACCTCATCTGCTGACGTAGTCTTCTCGTTGTCTTGCTGGTTATCTGACTGGGACATTGTTCCGGACTGAAGGGTATAATGAGCAGGTCGGGCTTGAGGGCAGAGTTGAGATCGAGCTCTTCTAAAGACGATGGCGATCTTGTGATGTACGCCAGCTCCTTCCCCGAGCAAGCATTGGCTACCCACTCCCCACTGCAGCCACCTAAAGCAACTGAACCACAGTCGTCGAACAGCCATCACGCTCAGCCGAAAAATGCCCGCAGATCATCAATCAGCCTTAGGCAATCCAGGGCCTAACCCATTGACCGACCGCAGCCGCAGGTATTCTCACAATCGACGACACCTGACCCCAAGCAACTATCCTCCTACCTCAATTAAGTCCCAAACAAGCAGCCCCTGCAGTATTGGCTCCAGATTGCTGTCAATATCCTCATTCTTCCCAACCCAACCTCATGGGACAGCATCCAACCGCTTTTCAAGGGTCCTGAAACTCATTTGGAGAGGTACGATGCCAGAACTCAGCAGCGATCTCCACAAACGAGACACGGAGGCCCTCGTCCTGGCTAGGCCATGATCCGACTGCACGAGCAATGTGAGCAGGGTATTGTTGCCTCCATGATCTCCGTCCGAAAGCCCACTGGCGTAGGGCATCTCGTCGTCGTCGTCGTCGTCGCTCCGCTTCCTCCGCCACGCAGCTACCGTTGAATTGATCAGGAAACTCGGCCGACGTCCGAAAAACAAGAAGCTTTCCTGTTCCAGACGGAAGTGACCCCAAGGCAGAACGCTCCCATCGGCAGTGGAAAAGGGGCGGGGACTCGAAGGCGAGATAGATGTCAGCACATGAATCGGCATCGTCGAGACGACAATCTCGCACGGATACCACTCAACACTCACCTCTATTCAAGCTGACCGTCCACAGGGAACTCGCCATCGGGTTCGCCATCAGTCTTTCCGAACGACGGACCACTGACCTGACTCGAAGATCCCGTTCTCCCCGTGTGGTCTTCCAGAGTAGCAAACCTCGCGGCGATGGATACCCCCAGCACTCTTAGAGATCAAAGTAGTGATCTCCATTATAGCCAGATCAGATCTGCACAATGCACGAGTATATGCAACTCTTCCGCGAATAATGCCGTTTCAGGCGCGGTTCCGGAGAGGGAAACCGCACCCAGCATCATGGATCCATTGCCCGCTCCTGAGAAGTGTAGCGCCCATCCACAGCTGTTAAAGAACTTCTTTATAAAGCTTTTCCCCCTTGAATTCGTGGTCGCGGGCGGCGGACGACTATCAAGCCTGTCGAAAACCAGCTCCGATGACAACAACATCGGTGATCAGAAGATAGGTCAGACCTGGTGGCTGAAGGGAACAGCCGCCGCGGGGTTCAACCGTAGTCAGCTAGCGAAAGACTGAGCTTAGTCAACAATGGGCTTGGAGGTTGTGTGGGGGATATGTACCATGCAGTAAGGCCTCACGCACAGTGCAGACAATCTCAATCGAAATGTAATACGCAGTTCGTCCGATGTGATAATAATTCGAGTTCCAAAGACATTAGAGTATGTTAAGGCGCAGGTGGTTTCCACTGATAGTGGCGGCGTCCGAAATAGAGTAAGGTATCCACAATTGCTCCATCTTCATGACATTAACCGCCAGAAGCCTCGGAGAATATCTCCATACGCAGGTCACTGCTAGCCTAATTGCAATTGTGCTGTGCGTTGCGGTACGGTGCTGGGGAGCACACAACAAGCAAATCGGAAGTGGGCGGAACTGTCTCCACCGGACGCACCATGTGGAACAGACGCACGGAGGACATGGACACTTTATATAAACACCTGGGGTAAACCCCCCGAACCAATTGCAGAACAATGCGTGGGATTCTATTAGCTATTACCTAATGATGCGGTGCCCAAGTATACATGACGCGACCAGCATTCTGTCCCACCATCGAGTCACCGTAGTGGACAAGATGGGTGGTCAACAATGAGCACCATACCCTTTCAACAAGCAAAGAGACCATCCTTTCCTCCGATGAGGGTATCCAGTCAAATGCATCAAATGGCAGTCACAGTCAAATCGCAAGGAAGCACAGAAAAAGAAAAAGCAGCAGCAAGTGGTATCAATCTAGTTTGGACGGCGCACAACATGATCACGCAAGGCCCAAGGGGCTTTCTTGCGGAACGGATATCATAAACGAATGAAACGCAGCACAAGACGCCGGAAAGGACATCAAGGCTCGGAAATAACCGCCAAAGCAGTACAGGGTATCATTGACACTCGACACGGATCACTTCGCCAATAGCTCGACGAGAGAGATTCATGAAGGAGTCAAGGGGGTAGTATCAACGTCAACTCAAAGTAGCAGATTTTATTTTTTCGAATTCGAAGGGGTTCGCATCACCGATTTGCAGACAAGGCACTTGTCTTCCCAGCCAAGAGAACGACCATTTAGGCGGCAGCCTGGACAGGGGTGGAGGCAGGGACGTTGTTGACAGGGGCGACCTCCTCGGTGGCAGCAGGAGCCTCAACAGGTTGAGCAGTCTCCTCAGCGGGGGACTCCTGGACGGGGGCCTCCTTAGGAGCAGCCTCGGTGGCCTCCTTGGTCTCCTTGACCTCACTCTTCACAGCCTTGCTGGGCTTGCGGAAGATACCGCCCAGCTTGTTACCCTTGGGTTTGACCTCGCCGTCGGCGCCCTCGTTGTCGGAGTCGCCCTTCTTCTTGCCGAAGTTACCGAAGAAGGAAGTGCGGCGGCTGTTCTTGGGAGTCTCCGCAGCAGCAGGAGAAGCGGCAGGGGTGGCGTCCTTGGAAGCTTCAGCGTCAGCAGCAGCAGTCACAGTCTCGGGCTCAATGGGCTTGACGTTAGCCTCCTCGACGGGGTTGTCGAGCTGAGGAGCACTGCTGGCAACGGTGGTCTCAACGGGAGCGGGAGCGGGAGCGGCAGCCTCCTTCTCCGACTTCTCGTGAGAGGGGCTGGTGACCTTCTGGAAGAAGTTGCCAAAAAGAGAAGCGCGCTTGGACTTCTGGGTAACAGGAGCCTCGGCCTTCTTCTCCTCTTTCTCCTCCTCCTTCTTGTCGCTGGTCTCGGCAGGAGCGGGTGCGGCGGGAGCGGGGGCTTTCGCACAGTTAGTCAGAAGTAGATGATTTGGAGATTATGGTGGACATACCCTCAGCTTCCTCCACAGCAGCAGCAGGGGCCGCCTCAGTGGTCTCGACAGGGGCCTCAGCGGGGGTCTCGGCGGCGGGCTCGGCAGCCTTGGCCTCCTCTTCCTTCTGCTCCTCCTTCTTCTCCTCGGTCTCCTCCTTCTTGCCCAAGAGGGTTCCGAAGATGCTAGCGCGCTTGCGAGACTGAGAGCGGCTCTTGGCGGTAGCCTTCTCGTCCTTGGGTTCCTCAGCGGGGGCGGCCTCCTCCTTGGGCTCAGCAGCCTTCTTGACGGGCTCAGCAACAGCAGGCTTGTCTAAAGAACGTTAGTCGATGAAGGTCTCTTGTTGCGTGGCGTAAGACTTACTCAGCTTCTCCAGCTCAGCCTTGTAGCCCTCGCTGGCGACGATAGTCTCCTTCTCGGCCTTGGCCTCGGCAGCCTTGGTCTCGAGAGCGAGCACCCAGCCGTCACGCTCAGCGCCGCTGGCAGCCTGGAAGGTGTGCTTGTGGCCGTTGACCTTGAAATGGAACTCGTTGGCACCCTCCTTGGCGATATCGGAGACCTCAGACTGTGAACTCAGTCAGCATCACCACTCACTTATCTCAAATCGCCTATTTCCAAGTACTGACCAGGTTGAAAATACCAGCCGGGGTAGCCTTGTCCTCGGCGCGCTTGGTCAAGAAAAGGAGACCCTTGCCGGTCTGGCTAGCCCAAGCAGCGATGGGGTTGGCGACAGCAGGCTTCTCGTTCTGGTGGAAGGCGGACAGCTGCTTGGCCTCGACAGCGTCATCGTGGAAGTAGAAGAAGCGCTTAGCAAAACGCAGACCCCTGTTGTGATACCCATGATTAGTCACTGCATGCGAACCTCACAATGCGACAAGTGGCGCCTTACTTGACCAGACCGGGGGCCTTGTAACCAAGGACACCCTCCTCAGCGGGGGTAACCTCCTCCTTCTTGGGCTCCTCCTTGGCCTCCTCAGCGGGAGCATCGGCCTTGGGCTCCTCAGCAGGAGCAGCAGGGGTGGTCTCAGTAGCTTCGGCGGGGATCTCCTTGGGGGCCTCGACAGCGGCAGGCTCGGTGGCAGCGACCTCCGTGACGGCAGGCGCTTCAGTAACAGGAGCAACGACAGGC